GACGCATTGGGGTCCAGAGAGATCGTGCGGTGTGAGTGAGTGAGTGAGGGAGGGAGGGAGGGAGTGAGTGAGTGAGGGAGTGAGCGAGGGAGTGAGTGAGTGAGTGAGTGTGTGAGTGAGTGTGTGTGTGAGTGAGTGAGTGAGTGAGGGAGGGAGGGAGGGAGTGATGGGAGAGTGAGTGAGAGTGAGAGTGTGAGTGTAAGTGTGAGAGTGAGAGTGAGTGAGAGTGAAGGTGGGTGAGTAAGTGTGGGTGAGAGTGAGAGTGAGTGTGAGTGAGTGGGAGAGTGAGTGAGAGTGAGAGTGGGAGAGTGAGTGAGTGTGAGTGTGTGTGAGTGAGAGTGAGAGTGCGTGTGAGTGTGAATGCGAGTGTGAGTGAAGAGTGAGTGTGAGTGTGAGCGTGTGTGAGTGAGTGAGAGTGAGGGTGAGAGTGAGAGTGAGAGAGTGAGCATCTGAGAGGACTAAGTGTGCTGCGCCTGCGCCGAAATCTGCACTTCGAGGTACACAAAGTACTGCGCCTGCCACGAAATCTGCACTTCGAGGTTCACAAAGTGCTGCACCTGTCACGAAATCTGCACATCGAGGGTCTGTACCTACCACGAAAACCGCACTTCGAGGTTCACAAGGCGCTGCACCTGCCACGCAATTTGCACGTCGAGGTTGACAAAGTGCTGTGCCTGCCACGAAATCGGCACTTTGAGGTTCACCAAGTGTTGTCCCTGCCACGAAATCTGCACATCGAGGTTCACCAAGTGCTGTACCTGTCACGAAATCTGCACTTCGAGGTTCACAAAGTGCTGCACTTGTCACGAAATCTGCGCATGGAGGGTCACAGGGTCACAGAGTGCTGCGCCTGCCACGAATTCTGCACTTCAAGGTTCACCAACTGCTGCGCCTGCCACGAAATCTGAGCCTCGACGATCACCACCATGTCCAAAGTGCTGCACCTGCCACGAAAACTGCATTTCGAAGTAAAACAGCTCGGATCCCTTGCGCCTCTCACGAGAAGCTGACATTGGAGCACCGAACCACGAGGTTTCCCTTGCCCCTGCCACGAAAAGTGATTCGAGAGGCATGAATGTACTGTAAATAGCAACGAATTAGCCGTTCACGCCCGCGCGCTTCAGGGATCTAAGCATCAGCTGCTTTTCACCTGCCGTAAGAACTCCTACTGTGTGTCCACACTGTTTGGGGAACCACGAACGATTGAATCATATTGAATCGTTTTTTTCTTGGATGGATTTCAACGTGCTGGTACTATATAGAATAGGTATGAATGTTGTTCTCATCTCGGAAATCTGTTGATCGAGTAGTGTTTTGGCAAAGGTATATCTCAAACAAACATGTGTTATCCGCAATCTGAACACAGCAAGAGCAGGTTGCTACCTACCGCCATGGTTATTCCCAATCTGTTGAAGCAAAACCGTCGAATCCTGCACTTCTTCTGCCAGGTCGAGCACTTCTTCAGCGCTGGGCGAAGGCATGGGGGGTGGTTGCACGAACCAACTCCCCGTCCCATTCGAGAGAATGTCCCGAACCCCATGGCATATGTGCTGACAGTTGGGGGTGGTTGATTTCAGGGGTCAATGCATATACCTGGACCCTCCAAGGGGTGTCCAATGCACTACCACACACTACCTATAGGCTTTCATTGGGCACCCCTTGGAGGGTCCAGGTATATAATATATAGTGTATGGGACATGAACAACGACTCAAGTTCAACTAAGTTGACTGCAACAACTAGTGCCGCTATCACACACGAGGCTACCGCCGGCGTACTATGAACATCTATGAACACAATAATATATATATATATATGCAGCAGTGCAGTGATCAAAAGAATTTGACATACCTGCACTTATAATAAGCCATGGCAGCCATGTATGCATAGATCACCACTCAACCACCTAGAATCCATGTAATGAGGAAAGTCAATCATATGTTGATGGCATGCTGGATTTGGATAGTTGATCAATTATCTTTCAACACAGGGCTCACTCAGGTAAAAGGCGCTCACTGATGTCTAAAAATACCTGGACCCTCCGTGAAAGTACTGGACCACGCCCGTACCAGTCATTCATGTCCCCGTACGATGACTCAAGGGAGGCCTTGTACTATGTACCACGGGAGGCCTCAGGTCTACACTCCCTAAGATCAAGCAAATGTTGACTACTGTCGAAGCTATGTTCAAACTACATCTTCTACACTCCGTTTGAACGTTGACCAGAACATGTTGTAAATGTTATGTGTATATATCAATTGGATCTATCCTATTACCTGGGCCCAGTGGATGATGATGGTAAGGTTGCAGGCCTTGTCCAAAAATAGTGATCTTCTTGTTTACTGACTGTTACAAGCAATAGGACAAACCCCATACCAGCAGTCACAAAAGGGTGCTTAATGGAGGTTAGGGGTGCCCATTATCCACTCACTCAGAAACTAAACACCACCCCTTTGTGACTCCTGGTGTATAAATAAATATATATATATATATGGTGATCAAGCTGTGGGCTGCACCTCCCACCAGCGAACCATTTTCACTGCCGGCCACAGCTAAGTCGAAGTCGCTGGCAATGCTTCCGGCTTTAATGAGATGACATGACAAGGATATTTCGGACTTTGATGCACCCAGAAACCTCTGGGTCTGACCTCGTTCCCTTCAAAACCCTTGCACCCTGGCTGAAGTTCGACCTATTGTACCATCCAGAACGCAAAATCTCTGCTTCTGGTTGTGGGTCACAACTCCTGTTGCACTCTTGTTAAATTTATGATAGTAGTTTAGAATCTACAGAACCCCCCCAACAGTCTGGTGCTAGTAGAAGAACGCTAGCTTTTTGGACGCTAAGAACACACGTGCTCTTTTGCATTCCCTTCCTACTCCCGTGCAGAGAGGAGGATTGCCGACGGGCCGATCCACAGGGCCCCCGAACTTGAAGAGAACGTTTGCCGCGCTCAAAAAGGGTTGCCGCACATAGAAACTCACGTTCATGTCTCAAATGAGGGACCTCCCAAACGTCCCGACCCCCTTGGAAGTTTTGGCAAATAGCCAAACCCTTCCAGGAATCCAGTCGTACCGTACCTCAGGTACGGTGAGGACGGAGACACTGTTATGTAGTGTGCCTGGGTCGGGTCCAGTTGTTCTGAGGCTTCTGAGGAGGTACGAAAACGGATCCCTAGGGTGGCTGGGAGTTGTCTCCATCAGCTGAGCGCTTGGACTGTTCCTAGTCTTTTTGGACCAAAACACGTACTGAGAGTCCAGGAGATCTGAGGGTGGGTCCATGCACACGTCGTTTAGTTTAGATGAGCTGAGAGTGACCCACAGCCTGAACACCCAACTGACATGCAGCAAACAAGTCCGACTCTCTTAGTCGAAGAGTTGCTCTCGAACGCGCCAGAAACACCACAGAGGTTGCTCCAAAAACAGCTCCAAACGGTGCCGACGAGTGGTATGCTGCCCACATTTCAAGCGCCAGAACGTATCCCCGCACCGGGTGGGCTTGCCGGCCCACCCATCGATTGAAGAGTCTGAATCCCAAACAACCATTGTCCCTAGACTTCCAGGACCATACACAAAAATCGTTGACCTGGTTTTTGTAGTGTAAAATCCTTAGTTCATTCGCTTGAAAAGCGAAAAGAATGGTGGGCCAGGAAGCCCTAGGGTTGTTTTAGACGAAGAAGGCCAGGTCCTGCCATCTTTGAACTGATTCACGCTACTTGCTCGGCACCCGAGACCTCCCCGAGAGGGAACGGCGGGAACGGCGGCACACGAGCGAAGCTTCCTTGGAGCGACCTGAGCAAAACGAAACGGTCCAGACTGGGCTTCATCCCAGCTCCCGTCAGAACCTACTTCTTGAGAGTGTGTTCAGATGTGTTCACGGGGGTGGTGGTTGGCCACCCAAACCGGTCGTATTTTGGCCCAAACACTCTGTTTAGACGGGTCCAGTCAACAAATCTTTTTCCGTGCCAGTTCGAAGCCCGTACATATATTCTACATTGGCCTTCTCTTGCATGGGTCAAGCATGTTGCAAGGGTCAAGGCGGACACAGCCGACCAAGCACTGCACCTTTAACAACTGGGACAAGGGGGGGCCACTCTCACTAATTCATGTCGAGATTGAATGAATAAACATTCCCTCTCTGTTAAAATATCCCTCCCCAATGCTCACCCAAAAAGGACACTCTGGTGGGTCCGCTGGAGACATTCATCTGGAACATCTAATTACACAACATGGGAAGCTGGTCATATTTTTGGATTGGTTCATATTCTCTCTGCTCCAGGATGATGACACTTACTCTCTCACTAACATTCTGGAAGTGGGCACTTGCCTTTGGGAAAACGACTGTCCTTTACAAACAGGACGGACAGTTACCACTTCCATGATCAGTATCGAAAACAAGTGCATCTGGACCATGCTTTGTTTGGACGCTGGGCCTGGGCTATGAACACTGGTCCGCGACACGTTTTACTTGGATTTGCTTTAGGAACTATGAACACATTCCCAGACACTCCATGGGACTGCCATATATACCTGCATTATTTGGGGTGGTTGCTTGGGGGTCAATGGGTCGGCATCTATGCCAGTCCCATGGAATGTCTGGGATTTAACAAAAAGACATTTAAAGCAACTATTCCCCAGCAGGAGCCTTCTACCCATAGGGAACATAATAAAGTCATAAACATGCACCTGATCCGCAAAACCACCAGGTTTAGTACAAGTGGTCCATGGGAGTCCATGGGGCGCATCCCAGTCTCGAACCTCGATTCCAGTGTCCTGGCGTGCATGTCGGGCCTGTACAGTCCGTGCAGATCGATAAACACGCATCGTCGACGAGTCGACATGCAGCTGGATGATCTAACCTTGAGTGGGCCCCCAACAAAAAGCGAGGCGGGCTGCTTCGATCGCCCCGTTATCCCGGGTGTTTTGGGCTGGCTTGTCCGGTCGCCGATGATCCGGTAGGATCCAACGTGTGAGCTACCGATCGGATCCAACGCATAGTGTTTGTTTCATTCTTTTCCTGGTTAACTCATCCAACTTCTTCAAACCACACACGATCACATCTGGCTCGCCCCATTCCACTGAGATGGCACATGGGTCACCTGCAAAGGCCCGGCGGGCGCTGGGATGGTTCGAACACAGGATTCCATTCTTCCTCCCCTTCCGTATAGGTCCAATCCTTGGATTTGCATTCTTCGGAACCTGGAAGAATAATGAAGAATATTCCAGGTTGGTGGGAAATAAACAATCACCTGATCAGCGAAACCAGGAATCTCACCGTAGGAGTCCAAAAAAAGCATCGGTTGGACTGAGTTTTTTCACCAGTCCAAGGACCAAGTTCAACCTCGTCCTTGGGTCTGGTTCGGGTCTGGACTCCGGCCATCGAGGGCAACACGCCCCCCCCCTGCCATGAAGGGTCTCAGGATTGGGGGACGACTACAAACCCAGCTCACCCATATAATATATGTTTTTCTTTTCCAAGGTCACCCCCCCTGGAGTTTTGTAGAGATAGGGGGTGCTGACTGGGGTGCTGATATTCGTGGGTCTTGGAAGGCTGGGGCTACTAGTAGGAATTCGAAAAACAAAAACTGCTCCTGGGAGGGCAACAGGGAGGCGAAACCCAAGTGGTTCCACCGACTCACGCCTGCCAGACCACGAGAGGTTTTTCGCCGGACCACATTCACCCATCCCATGTCCCAGCTATGCAGAAGTTCTGCCTTTGGGCTGGTTTCATGGATGACAAAAAGCCGGGACATCCTGCATAGTTCGAAGATCGGTCACAGTACCGGTCCGGAACGATCAACGCTCTCAACGCTCTCTTGGGAGGATAAAGACTTCGACTGCACTGCGAAAGTGTCAGGGTCGGTAGAAACGAACGAGACCTGTTTCAGCGGATCCAAGCGGTGGGTTCATGCCACCGTCGACGCAACCCTGGAGCCTCCTAAGGTTTGGGGATCTGGACCCGAACCAATCCCTATAGGGTTTGGTTCGGGACCAGTCGAGCTGTGAACGGAGCGTCTGGGACATGTGCCTTTTTTTCTGGATGGCCTGAATGATCTGACAATCATAGGTTCGGAACACCCACGGAATCAGAATCTGGCCATGGGATTTGCTCGGAACCAGGGGGGATATAAAAGCCATCTTCCCTATAGAAGAGGATTCGGTCAGTGTCCAAGTCCCCATCCCTACGATTCCACGTCGGTGCCTTCGGTCTTGGGGCGGCGGGTGGTCATAGAAGGACCTTCTAAGACGGAGGTACGACTGGAAGCTACTAGTAACAAGTGCCACGCTAGTAGTAACAGGTGCCTTACTACTAGTAACAATAAGAATGTAATTAGAATTGTAATTACTAGCAGGACCTTCTAAAACGGAGGTACGACTGAAGCCTTAAAAAGGGAACACAATTCGATGAACAGCGCGTCCAGTGAACAACAGTCCAGTCCAGATCGACATTGTTCGACGATCAAAGACGTACAAGTTCAACACACCCTCTGAAGTCCAATTCGATGAGCAGCGCCACGACTCGATCTGCCATCGAACCTTTGGCACACCAAATGCATGTTAAACCTGTCAACTGGACTCCACGAGATGCAACATGAGGGTATGGATCCATGTGTTCAACATGTTTTTGGGTGGTTCTTGGTGGTAAACTCATGATTGGTCATTCTCTTGCCGTCTCATGGATCGCCGACTCGACAAACCAGGTCTGCCGACGGTCTGGCCCTGCTGAGTCGAACCCAATGCTTCTTGAGCTGTTGAGTTGGCTGCTGGTGTACTACATTGACCCCAAAGACTCCATGGGACATAGTTGCACACATTGACCCCAAATCATCAACCACCCCACTGTAGGTAAAATATGCCAGTCCCATGGAGTGTCGGGGTCCTGGCGCCGACCTTCGGGGGCATGTGGATCCATCTTGGGAGATCTATATTACTACATTCCCAGGATTCCAACCACCATTGTATCGCTTAGTGGGCTTTACCAAACAACAAACTCTTTTCTCTATGCTTTAGACGACTTCTGTCCGAATTCTACACTACCACACCGGGTCCACTTGTCCTGTTCACAACCACCGTTCGATTGCAGAACACTCTGCACTTCGTGGTGCGAGCCACCGTTTGGCTTTTTGTTGGACCCCCTTGACTGACCCAACGATGTATGTTCCAACCCCTGGTTCTTCCACCCGAAATCGGTTTTGTCTTACCCGTCTTCCAAGACCTAGTCTTCCTGAATGGTTGATCTGGTGGTGGAGTGGAGTGTAAACAATCTTAGCCCGGATCCAGTCGTACCTCCTCAGGTTCGGCACCACTGGACCCTCCTGGCACCTACATAACAGTGTCGAACACATCACCTTGGAAGGTACGTGGAAGTAAAAAAGCTGGTTCTTTGGCATTCAGACATTCCAAAACAAGTGGTGGGCCACAAATCCGGGTGGTATTTTATACAATGATCGTAACTAAATCCTAGGGTGTATATAATTCTCGTAGCCACATCCTATATAGGGCTTATATGAAATTTTTAGGGCTCCTGCATGGCCCACATCCTCAGAAGGTTAGACCCCCCTGGCATCCACCCCAAGCACCTCAGGAGGTGGGCCAGGAGCCCAAACGGGTATGTGCTTTGAATCCAGAACTGACCCCCCAAAACCGCTCGTTGCCACTGCTCGGCCGCTCCATTGAGACGGCCCTGCCTCCAACGCGGCCGATACCGGCAGGATCACAAAGACCGGCACGCGAGCGACGCCTGTGACGGATCGGCGGTGCGACGGTGAGACGGTGAGTCGGCCCAGCCAGGCCCGACTTCAGAAGTAAGTCAAGGCAAACACATTACATTAAGTAAGACTAAGTAAGGTAAATGAGTAGTGCAGGTAAGTGTATAGTAAGTAAGCAAGCAAGTTAGTATACCGTAAAGTGAAGTATATAAAGGACGTTCCCGTTGTCCCCTTTCGTCAAACTGTCCTATCGTTGACTCTCCGCCAAACCATCGAAGCCACACCAACGACTCAATCGTTTTCTCATCCCAAAATGCCGCATTTCTCATTGATGTGCTACATGTTGGGAGTTTTGGACAGCTTGCCCAACGAGCGAAACCGCACAAAGTCGCCGTTGGGTTGGGAGTTTGTCCGTTTCAAAAGCTCAAGACTTAGCATCAAAAGCATTGCAATGCAAAAAGTGCTTCAAGACCAAAATAATTCCCAGACACTCCATGTGACTGCCATAGGACTGCCGAGAAACGGCCAGGGGTGGTGCCAGAGGGGTCTGGCTGTTTCTCGGCAGTCCGTCCTGGCAGTCCCATGGAGTGTTTGGGATTGGCATTTGCTTGAAACAGCCGTTTTTTATTGATCCCCAGACGCTCATGGGCCCTCATATGGAGGGGTCGGACCCTTATATGGAGGGGTCTGGGGTCTCAATTCCTTAGGTTTTGAAGGACCAAGGGCTGTTTGGAGCGTCTGGGTCATAAGGCAGGACGTTCGGAACGCACCGGCTAGGAAGACCGGACCGTTTTTTTTTTGGTGATTGACCCACGTGGAAAAAATGAGGGGTCAACCAACAGAGGTTAAGTGACCTGAACTAGGACCCTGCAGGGGTACCTATGGGATAGCCTATAGGGTCATTCAACCTCTGTTGGAATGTAGGCCATTTCTGTGGATCCGAACTTGAGCTCCTGAAGTTGACCACCCTAACCCAAACACTCCATGGGACTGGCCTACATATGCCGATCAATTGACCCCTCAAACCACCCCAACTGATCGGCATATATGGCATCCGGGCCCGGTTCGCAACACTATAGGCTTTGGGAACCGGGTCCGGACCCCGACCCCGTGAAACGGTGGAGAAGGTCCCCAAACAAAGGAGAGCCCGGGCCCGGATGCTTAGGGCACAGAAAATGAACATCCCAAAGAAGTTGCACATAGAACTATAGAAGACTCCAACTTTCTTTTAAATAAGGTTTAGATAGAAACATATTAATTCACTCCACCCTTCTCCCAAATAAAGTTAACCATGGAACAGATATGAGCAGAATGGATGGTCGACCTACTCTGGTGAGTCTAGGGAGTGCCATGACGGCCCATGACCGGCATGGAATGGGGCTAGGCCTCCTCGCCCACCACTGATTTTGAGGGATCCAACTCTTGGGGTTCTGTAATTGCTTGGGGTGGGTGCCAGGGGGTCAGTCCCTTCCGAGTTGGGGGCCAGGCGCCCCACCCGGGATCCCTAAATCCCTTGCCGTCAATTTTGCCGCACAAACTTAGATCATAGCCAACCACTGCTGATGGAACAACAAGCCCACATGCTGCAACATGCTGCAACTGTTATTTTGAATATCTTGCACTTGCAGCTGGAAACCCAAACAAAACTAGAAACACATGGTTGCTCCAACATAGCAATTGAGATCCTTTACTCGGAAAAGATCTGTTTCTGGTTGGGACTGGGTTTTCCAGGTGTGACCACCTGAATGTCCTGGTGCCAAGGGGGGGCCACAGGACCAGGAGGCTATGATCAACTTGATTGAACTTCAATCTACTCTGAAGAATTCATCCGGAATCCTACTGTAAAGAGGTTGGAGGCCATGGCTAGTAGGTTGGAGGCCATCGCTATCAGGTTGGAAGCCATCGCTCTCAGGTTGGAGGCAATCACTATTAGGTTGCAGGCCATAGCTATTAGGTTGGAGACCATTGCTACTAGAAACAAACAAACAAACAAACAAGAAAAGGAAGAAAGGTCTAATGCAGTTTCTGAATCTACTACTTGAAGAATTCATCCATATTCATCCCATGTCTCCAAATGAACTGCATCAAAACCATCAAAGTCAGAAGTCGGGGTGCGTCTCAAGTGATCTACCTTTACCTTGCCAAAACCAAAGCCACTTGCATGAATTGGGTTCACCTCCCATATCACCTTGCGCACTCTTGCCGCCCCACCTTCGGCAAGAGCACCCGCGCTGAGCGGCATTGCCGCTGCAGAGATGCTGCTAGAGCCTGGCATCCGATCCGAAGCTTCTCAAATTCGGCAGTGTCGAACACATCACCTAACCTGAGGTTCAGAGCGACTGTATCCCAAACCATCCCAAATCAAGCACCCTTGCAACTGCAGATCCTCCGGTTTGCCCCCGGTTTTGCTGGTCCAATCCGACCCCTCAGTCTGCCCGGTTTTCTGTCCGGTCCTGAAAACCTCGTTGAGTAGTTACAGCGTGGTCTTTGACCATTGACCATTGACCAACCGTGGCTCACGGATGCTCAAACATGAACTGATCATGACCATGTGGACGAAGGAGTGTGTTCTCATGTTTTCTCGGCAATGACCAAATACCAGGGGTCACAAAGGGGTTGTGTTTGGTCCCTAAGTGAGTGGATAATGGGCCCCTAACCTCCAATAGGCACTCCTTTGTGACTCCTGGTCAGCAGTTTTTGCGACCTTGCGACAGATTTATAGATTTTACAGGGGAGTTCGATGCATCATTTTTTGCGAGTCTTGCTCTCTCGGTCCAAAAAGACCTCTCTATCCCAAACCCTCCATGGGACTGCCAATATATGCCGATCAATTGACCCCCCAAACCAAACCACCCCAATGTTGGCATACCTGAGAAGCTGCAAACCGAAAGCCAGCGCTTCCCTTTCTCGACAACTATGTGAGGCAAGGGTCCTGAGGTGTCTCTGTGACAAGGCTTTTGTTAAAACAGACAGTTTTTCAAGCTAAATTCAAGGTGGCCTGAGACCAGGGTTTGCTGCCCTAAAAGACTCTGTTCAGGCCACCTTAAAAATGAAGGTCTGCGAAGCGAGAGCA